GAGTGATCCTCAATACATAGTGTGAGCGCTAACAAATTGCCCATCTTTACAGATCTTAGTTTAAACTGCTGACAATAACTACAGGCATCAACTGCCAGTCTGTTCACAAAATATCTCATGAACCAATGGACAGATTTTAATTAAATGTCTCAGAAGATATTTTATCTACAACAGATTTAGTTTTGGAGTCAACCCAACTCAAGTTGTCAAACTGTAAATTATTAATTAGTTTGGAAAGATTCAGAGTATAATCTAGTATTTTTAACTTATTTTAGAAGGCTAGTTTTTGCAGTGTCTGATCAGAAATCAGTGCGTTTCATGCAGAGTAAATATATTTGTTTTCTTTATTTACCAGATAAGATCTCAAAACTACTGACTGCTGACACTTTGTGTGCTATGACATGACATCTTGCAAGATTTCCCAAGTTCATAAGATTGTGCACAAAATCATTTATTCATGATCACCAAAATAGCTCAAACTGTATCCTTTCTCAATATGAGATGATTTCAGTTCAAAACTGGCATGAAAGGCAGAGGGTGATATGCATTCTCCTAATGAATGCTAGGCATTCATTTTAAAATGCAGTGAAGTAGGTCTTGAAGTCTACAGTCACTGAAAAAAGTTAAGCTTCAATGATGAATGGTCTGATTTGTACACCATTTTTTTCCACATGCAGGAGTGCTAGGGATTTATTTTGCCAGTAGTAGTAATGAATCAAACAGGTGCCCAAGAACATAAAATTGTGGTTCACAAATGCAACAGTAGTGTTATCAGGCAGCTGCCTGAGCATCCAACATTAAGTCATACCAGTAACTAAAGGTCATAGGCGTTGTGCGCTGTTTTTCACCATTTTTAGGTTTATTTTCATGTTTATTTGTATTGATCATTCAGTTTCTGTACTTTCTTGTCTTCAGTTTGCTTTGTTGCCTCCCTGTGTTTTCCCTATCTTCATCACATTATCTGCTTCTCAGCTCCTACCTCTTTCACACACTAGCTGCATTTCCATTGCAAATGTGCACAAAACTTTGTCGAAATTCTCTTAATGTCAAAAAACACAGTTTCACAATTGCAGTGTTTCCATTAAGAAATACTATTAAAGTCACACGGGAATGCGTTTTTTTTTTTTCTTGTGATAAGTCATTGCAAACATGGCGGCAATAGATGTAAACACATAGCACATAGCTACCGCGACACTAGTGCTCATCATCAGAGGAGACGTCGGCGTCTTTTATCGAGGCTTTCCAGAGACAAGCCCCTCATACTTGGGAGCGGCTACGTATGCTGTGTTTTTGGGAAATTGTAGTCGTGAGTTTATTACTTTCTTTTACTATTTCGGTGATTTTACAACTACTTCTACTTCCTGTTGTCTTCATCTTCTTTGTCTTTTTCGCCAGTAAACATCCGGCTGTTGATCACGTGACTCCCGTGATGTGAAAAAATTGTTTCCATTGCAGTTTTGCGAAATACACCAATTTCGATACGGCCGAAAAACCACCTCATCCTATCGCGAAAAATTTTGTCGAAAAACGTATTTTTTTTAACTGACGTGTTTCCATTGAGCAAATTTATTTTCAAAATTCTAATTTGCTCATTTTCATGGTCAATGGAAATGCAGCTACTTTTTCCTAGTCATCACTTAACCAGGTGTTTCCACTCAGCTCATCAGCCTCAGTCTATAAAACTCTCAGATGTCCTTCCCCTTCAGTCTGGCATTGTGTGTGCTTTATGCCCTGTTCTGGTTCTCCTTCATGTCTCCTCAGGTTTTGGATTTTTTTTTTTTTTGTTGATGCCATGACAGCATATTTGTTTTCTTTATACATGCATTCCCGGGTCTTACCTCTTCAGAATGTGACACTTAAACACAAAATATACTTAATAAAAGCATTAAACAGCATTACCTGCACTTGATAGAATTTGACAGGGGTCCCATTTTGTGTTAACATAAAATGGGGCGGGGGGGTGGGGTGTCTTGCACAATTACCTTACATGTAGGACATCCAGATGTCATAATGACCCAATAATGAAAGAAATGGGGACACAAGGGATTCCACTTCATATAAGATTCAGTTAATCGACAAACACACCAAGGAATGATTGTCATCATGTGCTAAGAATTCCCAAACTGCAACTGCCAGATATTGGACTCTTTGCAACACCTTGAAAAAGTGTTGCTGCATTTGGAAGATGTGGACTGTTGATGTCAGTGATCTGGATGACACAAACATCGGCTCATATAACAACTGAACCTGGAAGTTTTACTTTTTTATTGCTTTATGTTAACAAGTTCAACCACTCTGATGTAAAAAGTGCTAAATTTGTGACTAGTTACGGTTAAGGTCAGATCATTTAAACTGAATAATTAACGCGATTAAAACGTTTCCATCTCATTAATAATACCTTTCAAAGCCAGACAGGAAAATAAAAAAGGCTAGTGTTTGCGGAAGCGACTCTGTGTACACCAAACATCAAAGAAGGTCACATACATTGAATGTAGAAATGCACAGACGAGTTATACAAACACTTTATCATGTGAATAAATGATCAAAGGACAGAAACTGCTGATTGAAAAAGGAGAGAAACTGGCTGGCTTTTTTTAGTTCGCTCAACAAAAACGAGGAGAAAAGGAGTTTTTCTTTCTTTTTAGGGGGTATTTGATTGATTGTGAGCGTGCACTAGACACTTCGAAACACACAAACGGTATTAAAAAATGTGCTCTGGTTACGGAGAGAGCGGCGTTCAGATAGTCCACAACATAATCTGTTATTCATGGCAGGCATGCTAATCACTCTGTGTAACACCATACACACCTACTCCCACTGAAGTGTTGCTGTGCTTTAATACCACCTTTAATGTGCCACTTCTTAGGCAAAACCAAAGCTAAAATAATGCATCTGCTGCAAATATGAGTTGATTTTCGATGAATTTGTGTCCCAAAATCCATGTTTTTTTAAATTCCCCCTCCTGCTGGGGAGAAAATAGTCTGTTTGTATTCCTGTAAAAAAGTGCCTCGCTTTGAGCTTAAGAGTGATGCAAAATATGTTTATATAGAGTTCTATCAAACTGAACAGAAATCACTGTTAAGTGTGGTCTTCTATTTTACACACGTTCATAAAACCAACAATGTTCAAGGATTTGTGTCTGTGTAGGATGTGTTTGTTCATTCAACTTTTATACATGAAGACAAAAAGATTACTGGTTGTAATCATTGATGCACCATCAAAAATGAGGTGATATTTTTTCTTTCTTTGCCAGTATCCATGTGTTTTTGTTTGTAGTGTTAGCAAAAGCAAAATATCTCCTGAACCAGAAGAGGGATTTAAATACAACTCTTAGAAAGTAATCACTTGATGTACATCTATAATGGTATAACAGTATATATTATCTTTTGGAGTCAATCCAATTCAAGATGGCCACCACAAATGTCTCTAACTCAGTCAGTTTTACAGATATTGAGCTAAAATCTGATGTAGTAGCTGAGAATTATTCAAAAATCACACTCAAAGTGCAGATATAATGTGTGAGACATCATTGTTTAAAGTGCACAATAAATAATAGCCTAAACTGTCTGTCATATATCACATAAACTACTGGACAGATGTTAGGGAAATTCTCCATAAGTAACAATATAATGTACATCTATTACCTGTTAGTTTGTAGACTCACTCAATTGTACAGATATTAAGTCAAAATGTGAGTGTGGTAGTAGCTGAGAGTGGTATTTAGGGTTGCCAAATGTCACATATTGGCCAGGGTGTCCCGTATTTACAGCCTAATTGAAGTGTCACG